CCACGTTACTCATTCATTCCCGTGACCACGTTACTCATTCATTCACGTGACCACGTTACTCATTCATTCACGTGACCACGTTACTCATTCATTCACGTGACCACGTTACTCATTCATTCACGTGACCACGTTACTCATTCATTCACGTGACCACGTTACTCATTCATTCACGCGCGTTGCCTGCGTCGGGTGGAGGAAGGGACGTGACGACGCAAACGTTGGCGTTGTCACTCGCGCGCGGCGAACCCGACCCATGGTGACGTCCGCTCAACGTTGCCCTCCGTGGTTGTGATTTTCGCGCGACCGCTCGCTTTGTGTTAACCGACGAAGTCCGTTTCGTCGTTTGCTTGCGGAGCAAACAACAACAAAAAAGTGGCCTTATGTGGACTCAAAGAATAATCGAAAATTAGCATCTCAATAAATAAAAAGACCGTACAAAACTTTTGACAACCGCGTCTCTCGTTTCGCCCTTTTACTTGGACCGCAGCGGTTCGGAGTAGGGAGGGAGGTAGGGAGGGGAGGGATGAAGGGGAGGTAGGTAGGGAGGGGAGGGATGATGGGGAGGGAGGGGAGGGATGATGGGGAGGGAGGGGAGGGATGATGGGGAGGGAGGGCAGGGAGATAGGAAGGTGACCAACTCCCCGGGTTCGATTCCCGCACGTGGTCACCATCGAGTGATGAATGTCTCAACCAGTCCTGGAGCTTCCCCTCGGGTGAACTCAGCCGCGAATGGGCACCTAAAGCGGTGTGCGTAATACATCAGCACTGGGGGGAGGGGTGACAAAGGCGGCCGGGCGTGGTGCTGTCCACATCACCCCTTCGTGTGCCGTTGACAGCTTTTGTAGGAGAACCACTGGGGGGGGGGGGGGGGGGGTGGCACGATCGAAATCCCTAATTTCGATCGGATCATTGGGGTTTATTAGTAATAAATCAGCATTTTGCGACCCCCACTGCCACTGTGTAGCATATTATTACGTGCCAGGGACTCTATGAGATGATAGGACAATAGTCTGAGTCCATAACTTGCGATAAGTAACGGCAAAGCGGTTCTAAGTGACTCACATAATCGTGCGCAGTTGTGTATACAGTCCACGACTTCCCTGCAGGCATCAACACCTTCAGCGAGCGCGATGCCGATCACACAACGCGGTTCGAATTTGACCCTCGATCGATGGCTGCGTCATCGCCGCACACGCGTCGAATAAAAAGCAAGGGACAAGTCCTCACTAACAACTCCTTACTAACAATTCCTTACTTACTAACAAGTCCTTACTTACTAACAAGTCCTCACTAACAACTCCTCTATCATTTTTAATTGCTGGAGGGGTTGCCCTCCCCATCGGAAAATCCTGGCTCCGCCATTGAGAAGAACTACTCGCGACCAGCACTTGCCCCAAAATAACGTTGAAGGCTATACGGGGCGTCTTTGTCTTTTGTGTTTCCTTTTTTGTTATTAAATCCAAGGTCGTAGTGTTCTCATCACGTGGCGTGGGACCCCCCCCCCCCCAGCGATGTGTTAAATGTCTCGCTGTGAATAGGGGGGCAGGGGATGGGTGGGTGGGGTAGGGGGTGGGTGGGGGGTGGAGGGTGGGTGGGGGGCCCACAATCTGGGTGAGACTTCACTCGCCACCGATGTCATCACAGCCGTGGTCTGCAATGGGAAGCTGAGAGGTTGCCGCGGTGCCCCCAGCCACTGCACCACCGCTCTCGGCCCATCGCTCTTCACGCGAATCGTCACCGCGGAAACGAGCGCCTCCCACGCGCGCGTTCTAATCGCCTAAATTTGGGAACCAATTTGTAATTTTCCTCCCCAGTGAAGGCAGGGCACACGGTGTCCTACCTCCACGTCCCTCCCAAGAACGAGTGACGCACAGAAGGCACCGGCCGCATTCTCAATCCGCTGCTGGACGGTTACGGCCTCCCGAACCCCCGCGTCGGTAACGGGAGCGGGAGGAGGGGGGGGGGGATGTTGGCTGTCACGATCAGACTTCTTCACGCCATAAGAATGTGGAATTTGCACCACTGGCTTAGCAGGGGCTGTCAGCCGAAGTCACCAGACCCCGGTACCCGTGCCGGCCCGATGGTGTGAGTGGAGCGGGCGATACCTCCTCGCTCCCTACCTGACCGCTGTGTGTACGCGGTGTACACTCTGCGTGTACACGACACGCACACTCTGCGTGTACACGCGGCACACTCTGCATGTACACGACATGCACACTCTGTGCGCACGTGACACGCACACTGTGCGGGCGACACGCACACTCTGCGGTGCCCCACGACACGCACACTCTGCGTGTACACGCGGCACACTCTGCGTGTACACGACACGCACATTCTGCGTGCACTCGCAATCAACATTTGCGACAGCATCGATTTATTGACAGAAGTCACGTGCCTCCTGCGGACGCGACACCAAGCAGTCGGTCACACAAGATCGGCCACCACAAATATGAACATTGCCGGCCCGCTTATTGTCGATGAGAACATCTCAACATTTGTCGTCAACTCACACTGCGTGGCTTTAAAACGGATGCGATATATAATAGACGACGTTTCGGGCAATTATCCCCCTTCTCCATCGCACAGCAAACTCCCTACTTGCTGTACTGGCTCCTGTATAGTCTACAGAGGAGAAGGGGCCAATTGCTCGAAACGTCACCCACAATATGCTTATCATTCAAAGGAATAATTGACACGCGTGTTGAAGATGTTGTTTGTTAATTGTGCTTGTGTACCATTGCCAGCAGCAACATCAGTAGCGTCACCTGATAATATATTTTAAATGTATATATATTTTAAAATCTATCGCCCCAATGCTCCCCCCATCCTCTCTATTTGGATCTGCTACTGGGGGCTGGGCCTCTGTGACATCTACTTCTACGGGTCGTTATCTAACACCGCTTGCGAGAGCGATGGGGATATCCACTGACATCTCGCAACGTGACAACTAAGACGGGAGGGGGTCGATCATAAAAAAAATAATATCTAATTAATTATATTAATTAACCCGCATTATTTATTGTTTCCGTAAAATAATAATTCTAATGTATAATGCGCATTCCATCCTCGGACTCACAATGCGCATTATGAATGCACGCGGTGGAAACACGGATCTCCAATGAGCACGGCTGGCTACGCACGGTGCGAAAGAAGTTCAACACACACACACGTACATACGGAGGCACGATAGGGAGGGCAGAGACAGAATGTGTTCACAAAACAGAAGCTAAACAAATGGGGGGGGGGGGCAGTGCCGGATAATCCTCGTAGCACAAGTAGCTACACGTGTAGTAGCTACACGTGTAGTAGCTACTACATGTGTAGCTACACGTGTAGTAGCTACACATGCAGTAGCTACCACATGCAGTAGCTACCACATGTAGTAGCTACACATGTAGTAGCTACTGAATGTGTAGCTACTGCACGTATAGCTACTGCACGTGTAACTGCTGCACGTATAGCTGCTGCACGTGTAGCTGCTGCACGTGTAGCTGCTGCACGTGTAGTAGCTGAACGTGCAGTAGCTAAACATGTGTAGCTACAACACGTGTAGCAGCTACATATGTAGTAGCTTTCAAGGGCCCCGCACTTTCAGGGGCCCCGCACTTTTTAATATTTTGGTGTTCTTTTAAAAAAAAATCAGGGCCCCTTTATAACATTTCTGCTACAGGCACCCGCATGAGCTTAATCCGGCACTGGAGAGGTGGGGGGGGGAGAACTCTCAAAGCCACGCGAAGTCGTCCGGACATCGCTGCCCGTGCACCGGCGCAAAGCACCTCATCGACAGAGGCGAAGAAGGAGACGTCGCAGCGACCCCACCCCTCCGCTTACTCCTGGACGCGGTGGCTCTGGGCTTGACCACCTCCAGGTGATGGTTCATCCCGGGCGAAGGCAGCGCCACAGGGCGTTAGTGCCTCCACGTCTCTCCCAACAACAAAGTGACGCACGGGAGGCACCGGCCGCATTCTCAATCCACTGCTGGACGACTACGGCCTCTGGTAACGGGAGCGGCGGGGGATGTTGCTCTGCCATCTACATCAGCAGCCGTACGACAAGGAGGAGGAGAAGATGACTTAGATAGCCCAGTCGGGGCTAGAATTTATTGTTGTTGTTGTTGTTGCTGCTGCTCAACCGCACCTCCGATCAGCGCGTTTGGTTACGTACGGTGCGAAAGAAGTTCAACACGGATACATGCACGGTTTCAATGAATCACGAGGGATGGGGAGGGGAGGAGAGGCAGATTGTCGGACGCTTAGTCTATCGTTTGTTGTCCTTCCCCCGCACCTCCGATCGGCGCGGTTGGCTACGTACGTTGCGAAGGAAGTTCAACATACAGACACCCACTCCCTTGTCCCCCCCCCCATCGCTCACTGCGCCTCTCGCACGCCTCCTCCCCACTCCCGTGTCTCTCCCCCACCCCACACCGATCGCCACAACAGTCAGTGTCGCGATTACTACCCGCGGGCTCCGTGCCATTGGGGCTGATTAAATATTAACGTGCGGTATAATCCGATACAACCCAACAAGAACGACCCGGCCAGCCACCCACAACCACCCACAGCCACCCACAGCCACCCACCACCACTAACCAACCCCTACCGTGCGCCCGAAATGATTGGCTCGAGGCAGGGTAAAGGGGCAGCCCTGCAATTGTTCGCCTGCCGGCACGGCTGGCGGTAGCCTCAACAGACCGTTGGGGTTTCGATTTAAAGCTTTCGTGACTGCAGGGATTCATATTCTTGGTTCTTTCGGTAAAGTCACCACGTAGAAGGGAAATAAAAAAAATCAAACTATAAAATTCTCACGACGTTTCGATTGCAACACAAGCAGGTGTGAAAACCACAGCAATATATATATTTTTTAAAAAAAGTGGTTTTCACAGCTGATGATGATTCATTGTGTTGCAATCGAAACGTCGTGAGCATTTTATTGTTTAATTTTTATGATTTCCCTTCTACGTGACTTCACCAAAAGAACCAAGAAGACCTTTGGGGGTCTGTGCTGTGTGTACTCCTTGCCCACACCACTGACCCCCCCCCCCCCCCACCACCCACTCCTTGGCCCACACCGTCCACAATGCTGACGGTCATTCGGGTACGCATTTAATGCTGAGCTGACCTAGGGGAGGCCGTGTCGAGCTGCGCAGGTGCACGTTGACGCGTGCTTGTATGCACGTTGAACTTCCATCGCGCCGTACGCAGCCAACCGTGCTGGTCGGAGGTGCGGCACTTGCCCCAGCAGTCCGTTGAGACTAGACGGGGGATCTTTACCTTTGCCAAGGGTGCAAGCGATACAGAGAGAGAGAGAGAGTTCTTATTCAATATTGAACAAACAAAGTATTGTGGAGACCATGCAAACCATTTAGTAGGGGGACGCTGCTGATTGGCTGCCAGGCATGAAGAAGGAGTTATTGGTGTAAGGCACTACCACTAGAATTGCAAGGTATGCCTATCCGTACGAAGCCCATATTGCTGTACCCGATATTCCTATAATCGTACGAACACGTTATTTTACGTAATAATAAAAAAAATGTGAGAACCGATGTTCAGTTGCCAAAATAAATCGCCGAACGCACCGTTCCGCACCGTTCCGGATTAAATGAATCACTGGCGATGGTCGGGGGCGGAGGTGGCCACGTATGTGGCTGCCTACAACCCAGCAGCAGCAGCAGCAGCGAGGGTTGATGGATCACACACACACACAGATGGTGTTGTTGTGAAACTCCCTTCCCGCGGGGAGCGTCGAGGAGTTGCCGCCAGACCGCCAGCTCGCCGCGAGAAGGCGATAGAAGCCAAGTGGTGCCATCAACTCCATCTGCTTCTTCCATCCGCACGGGGATCGAGCGTTGCCCCCTCGCACGCACAGGTTTTCTCCGGGTGCTCCGGTTTCCTCATTAATTGTCCGATAGCACGTTGACGCATAGAGGACCGCAGAGCTTGGGCAGGGTGGGGAGGCGATGTGGGGGGCAGCGTGGGAATTTGTCGTCGGCTCCTCGCTGTGGCGAGGCTGTTGCTGCTGCTGTCATCCTGGCTCCTCGTCTATGGTTCCTCCTCCTGGCACCTCCGAGTCGTTCCCCCCTCCCCCCCTCTCTCTGCGATAGCGAGTTGACGTGATAATTATTGGTGAGACCAACCCTCCCACCTCTCCTGCGCCTCCATCCCCCACCCCCCGGAGGTGATACATCTCTGGTGCGACCTGAGATTGTAAATCCCCCTGCGTTGGTGCCTCCTCCCAGGGCTGCCCGGGCAATCACGGCGCCTGGAGGGCACTCTGGAGCTTAGCCACTTCCACCTGCAAGATGAACACACGCACACACACACATACACATATACACATACACAAGAGTTAAAGGTCACCCGCATGGCCTACGCAGGCTGCTGGGGCAAGTGCTGTTAGCGAGCAGCACCTACGAAGAAGGTCGGCACGGCACACGAGGAGGTGGGTGGCCAGAACCGCACCCGACCGCCTTTGTTTCCCCAGCGCAGATGTTTCCACATCCCCGCAGAAGGCACCCAATCAAGGCTGAATCGACTTAGTGGTGGCACGGAACCTGTATAGGACAATCACCACTGCCGTTCGCCGTGGTCAGGAATTCATTCTATTACATTTTGTATTAATAAAGCGCCCTTTCCCAAAGGCGCTTAACAATGCTTGCTGACCACGGTACAAAAATAGGCAAGGATCAGGGATGGGGGATTGTGTCGTGACTCGGGTGGAGGGAGCGAGGAGGAGCCCGCGGCAATGGGAGGGCATCAAGGGCGTTGCAGGTGGTGCGCTGGTTTGGGGGTAACGGAATAGGACGGGAAAGGGGCAGTGAACCCGAGGGCAGTGCGAAAAGAGGGAAGCGAGGGAGAGAGAGGCGGACGTGGAGAGGGAGTTTGTTCCAGCGTAAGGGGGCAAGCAGCGAGAAGGAGCGGAGAGCAAGATGAGGCCCAGGGTGGCAGTATGTGAACTCTCTCACACGCGCACGCACGGACACACGCACGCACGCACACGCGCACGGGTTCATGCAGAACCCACCGCTCTTCATTACAGTTGCCAAAGCCAACACGCCGCGCGACGGAGATGGTGTAGCCAGCGTCACGCCCGTCCGCCTTTGTTTCCCCAGTGGTGCGTTTACACACCGCCACCCGGGCACTCAGTCAAAGCTACGTGCGGTGCGAAAGACGCTCAACACACGTGCAAGGACAAAGATCCCCCACCCACCCCCCCCCCCCTTTATAGCCTTAATAATAGGCTGTTGGGGGCAAGTGCTGTTTGCGAGCGCCTATCGCGACCGGCACCGTGGCGCGCACCCAGACACAGGCCGGGCTGGGTTGACCATCACGTGGACGCATTTGCCGGTACCCTGGTGCAGCGTGACGCACACCGCGTCCTCGTGAAACAGCTCGACAATTCAAAATGTTGAAGCCACATTCCGTCTGCGACATCACGAGAACTGATTTTTTTTACGTCACCGCCACCACCACCCCGAACAATAAATAACTATTGAGAATTTTTTTTTTACAAAAATGATAATAGATTTTTTTTATATACCGCGCGATGTACCGCCAATCAGTTCGAGTGACAGAGAGCTCGGGGAAGGCCGTCGCAGACTCGGCCACGCTGAGCAGCACCACTCTGCGTCACGACACAAAGGTCTTGGATTGTGTGATCCAAGACAGTGGCGTCATGGAGCACGAGAGGCAAGAGATGAACAAGTAACCCCCCCCTCTACTCCCCCCCTTCCCGCACCACCCCCCCCCCCCCCCTCATCAACATGTGTCTCAAGAGAACAGCAGAAGTGATTGTGGTCTCCACTGCGAGCGAGAGCCGACGTGATGAGGTGAGAGGTTCCGGAGTTGGAAGGGCGTGCGGGTAGAGAGCAATATGTTGGTGATTGACAGTGGGGATGGTGGTGGTGGTGGTTGCGATGACAGGATCATTGTGTAGATCGTTAATATTAATTAGTTGTAATTGCTCATTAAAACTAATGACCCGATTCCTGAGTTGGGTCAGAGGTGCCAGTGTTATTAATTGTCATCTGCATCATGGTCTTCAGGATCCTCCATGGACTCATCCCCCCTGCCTCTTACTCCCCTCTCATCTCACTCCACTCCTCTCCTTCACACACTCCCCTGTCTCTCCCCTCTCATCTCACTCCACTCCCCTCCTTCACGCACTCCCCTGTCTCTCCCCTCTCATCTCACTCCACTCCCCTCCTTCACGCATTCCCCTGTCTCTCCCCTCTCATCTCACTCCACTCCCCTCCTTCACGCACTCCCCTGTCTCTCCCCTCTCATCTCACTCCACTCCCCTCCTTCACGCACTCCCCTGCCTCTCCCCTCTCGTCTCACTTCCCTCCTTCACGCACTCACCTACCTTTCATCTCACTCCACTCCCCTCCTCCACGCACCACACGCGACCGCCGCTCTCCAAAAAAGGGGTGTTGGGGTGTGTGGGTGTTGGGGTGTGTGGGTGTGTGGGTGTGTGGGTGTTGGGGTGTATGGGTGTGTGGGTGTTGGGGTATGGGTGTTGGCTGTGTGGGTGTTGGAGTGTGTGGGTGTTGGGGTGTGTGGGTGTGTGGGTGTTGGGGTATATTGGTGTGTGGGTGTTGGGGTGTGTAGGTGTGTGGGTGTTGGGGTGTGTGGGAATTGGGGTGTGTGGGTGTTGGGGTGTGTGGGTGTGTGGGTGTTGGGGTGTGTGGGTGTTGGGGTGTGTGGGCGTGTGGGTGTTGGGGTGTGTGGGTGTGTGGGTATTGAGGTGTATGGGTATTGGGGTGTGTGGGTGTTGGGGTATGTGGGTGTGTGGGGTGTGTGGGGTGTTTGGATGTGTGGGCTGTGTGGGTATTGGGGTGTGTGGGTGTGTGGGTGTGTGGGGTGTATGGGCTGTGTGGGTGTTGGGGTGTGTGGGTGTTGGGGTGTGTGGGTGTGTGGGGTGTGTGGATGTGTGGGTGCGTGGGTGTGTGGGTGTTGGGGTGTGTGGGTGTGTGGGTGTGTGGGTGTGTGGGGTGTGTGGGTGTGTGGGCTGTGTGGGTATTGGAGTGTGTGGGTGTTGGGGTATGTGGGTGTGTGAGTGTGTGGGGTATGTGGGCTGTGTGGGTGTTGGGGTGTGTGGGCTGTGTGGGTGTTGGGGTGTGTGGGTGTGTGGGCTGTGTGGGTATTGGGGTGTGTGGGGTGTGTGGGCTGTGTGGGTGTTGGGGTGTGTGGGTGTGTGGGGTGTGTGGTTGTGTGGGGTGTGTGGGCTGTGTGGGTATTGGGGTGTGTGGGTGTTGGAGTGTTGGGGTATGTAGGTGTGTGGGTGTGTGGGGTGTGTGGGCTGTGTGGGTATTGGGGTGTGTGGGTGTTGGGGTATGTGGGTGTGTGAGTGTTGGGGTGTGTGGGTGTTGGGGTATGTGGGTGTTGGGGGGTTGGGGTATGTGGGTGTATGGGTGTGTGGATGTGTGGGCTGTGTGGGTGTTGGGGTATGTGGGTGTTGGGGTGTTGGGGTATGTGGGTGTGTGGGCTGTGTGGGTGTTGGGCTGTGTGGGTATTGGGGTATGTGAGTGTATGGGTGTTGGGCTGTGTGGGTATTGGGGTATGTGAGTGTGTGGGCTGTGTGGGTGTTGGGGTGTGTGAGTGTGTGAGTGTGTGGGTGTGTGAGTGTGTGAGTGTGTGAGTGTGTGGGGGCTTGCGTCGTTCATCGGCTCAGAAAAGAGGCGCACGAGACGAAGCTCATTGCGCACGTGGGTCCATGGACAGCGGGCGGGGAGGGGGGGGCCCCGAGGGGGGAGCCCACGCCCCCCCCCCTCACCCCCCCCCCACAACCCCAATGGAGCTCACAGCGATTTGTCGGAACAATTGTGGTAAAATGAAATCTCCCTGGGGGGGTCGGGGGCAGGTCGCGAGTTCGGGCGCCGCAACCCAGAGGCGGGGCGCGATGGCGGTCCCACTCGGAGTGCTGGGGGCTCATTGCCGCTGGCTCTCTCGCGATGTCGTGGTGGTGGCGGCGGTGGCGGCGTCGCGGGGCCTTCACTTAAGCAGGCGTGAGAGCCTATTCCGTCTGGAGTAATGAGTCAATGTTTGCAAAGGGCCCGGAGCGGGATTGGTATTGTGTCATTATCGTCGGCACTCGCAGCAGCAGTGGAAGAAGCAGCGGCAGTAATGTAAGCCGCAGCCGCAGCAGCAGCGTCAGTCATCATCAGTCCACTGCTTGATGAAGGCCCTCTCAAAGCCGTCACCATCTCTGACGATCCTCCGATGGAACGATCCACCCAGCACCTGCACGCGCGAGCGGATTTCGTCGCTCCGTCTCTTCTCGGACGACGACGTTGTTCCAACCTTGGCATTCGATTGTAATCGTTGGCCCAACGTTGATCCAACGTTGATCGAACGTTGGCATGTGATAGGAACCATTGGCTCAACGTTGGCCCAACGTTGATCTAACGTTGGCATGTGATTGGAACCCTTGGCCCAACGTTGATCCATCGTTGGCATGCGTTTGGAACCGTTGGGCCAACGCTGGGTCGACGTTGGGTCAACGTTGGGGCAACGTTGACCGCTTTGCAGCCAAAGGAGCAGGGCGAGATTTCGAGGCGCGGCCGATTTGCCTCAACGTCGATCACGCTCGATCCGCTGCTGGATGATCGTTACTTGTGCATCCACAGTACAATTTTAAGTTGCCACTTTATTGTCTAAATCTTGGTGTGGTCTGGGACTGTTGTTGTCTTGCTACCTTGCCCAAGCTTGCATAAATAAATCTGACTTATATAATGTATTTATTTGCGTATATTTTTTATTTCGTGACTTGCTTTACCTTATTCTCTATTTTGCACTCCTATCGGTTTTTTGTAATTGTTTTTTGGAATTTGCCAAATCCGCCCCTGGATGGACATCCGTGGGGAAAAAAAAATGGAGCTCTATTAGCTCATCGGATTCCTCCCGATTCCGAACACCTCGCTCCACCATCACTCGCGGACCGCACGATGTAGCGATCCAGCCAGCCCCCTTGCTGCGCACATCGCGAGCTCATTACCGTGGCTCCATCTCCTCTGTGGGCCGCGTCCTCCCAGGACGCCTTCCGTTCCTTGATGCCCACACCGTTACGACCCTCGAGCGCCGTCCCTTCTGGCCGTGACGCGTCCTGGATGATTATGTCATGATGATGATGTTATGATGATGATGTCATGATGATGATGTTATGATGATGATGTCATGATGATTGTAATGTCATGATGACGTCATTATGATTATGATGATGTCATGATGATAATGTCATGATGATTTCATGATGATGATGTCATAATTATAATGTCATGATGACATCATTATGATTATGATGTCATGATAATGTCATGATGATTTCATGATGATGATGTCATGATGATTATGTCATGATGATGATGTTATGATGATGATGTCATGATGATTATAATGTTATGATAACGTCATTATGATTATGATGATGTCATGATGATAATGTCATGATGATTTCATGATGATGTCCTGGATGATTATGTCATGATGATGATGTTATGATGATGATGTCATGATGATTGTAATGTCATGATGACGTCATTATGATTATGATGATGTCATGATGATAATGTCATGATGATTTCATGATGATGATGTCATGATGATTATGTCATGATGATTATGATGTCATTATTAAATGATGATGATGTCGTGATTACCAACTTGCAGTCTGTTCTTCAATCCACCTGTCCCTCGTTCTGCCTCTCAGTGGAATTCCAAGCAACAATCCCCCACCGCCACCCACCCATGCTTCTTTCCCTTCCGTGTTCTTTTAATCGTCGGCCTGCGCTTCGATGCACACCGGCAGGGGATGAGTGCCCACCCTGTACCCCACCACGCACGATCTGCCTGCCGAGCGACTCGCTGTGGACGACACGAAGGCTGGGGAACGCAACCTCGTGGCACTCATGTTACGAGTCACTCGGTATACGACGTTTCAGCATCGGAACGAAGCTCGAGGAGACGCATCTACTTTGTATGTGGAGGTAGCAATGTATTAGATTGTTAAGCGGATTTACAGACCCCCATGCCTTCGTCGCAGTGAGAGGTGTGACCCCATAATTCAGGCTGTAATTACGGGCGAAACGTCGTACTCAGATTGTAAATGTTGTGGATTTGCTCTCCAACACACCGGTGTGCTGTACTAGTAACAAATTGGGTGTTGGGGTGTGTGGGTGTTGGGGTGTGTGGGTGTTGGGGTGTGTGGGTGTGTGGGTGTTGGGGTATGTGGGTGTTGGGATGTGTGGGTATTGGGGTGTGTGGGTGTGTGGGTATTGGGGTGTGTGGGTGTTGGGGTGTGTGGGTGTGTGGGGTGTGTGGGGTGTGTGGGTGTGTGGGCTGTGTGGGTATTGAGGTGTGTGGGTGTTGGGGTATGTGGGTGTGTGGGTGTTAGGGTGTGTGGGTTTTGGGGTGTGTGGGTATTGGGGTGTGTGGGTGTATGGGGTATGTGGGTGTGTGGGTGTTGGGGTGTGTGGGTATTGGGGTGTGTGGGTGTTGGGGTATGTGGGTGTGTGGGTGTTGGGGTGTGTGGGTATTGAGGTGTGTGGGTGTGTGGGTATTGGGGTGTTGGGGTGTGTGGGTGTGTGGGTATTGGGGTGTGTGGGTGTTGGGGTGTGTGGGGTGTGTGGGTATTGGGGTGTGTGGGTGTTGGGGTATGTGGGTGTGTGGGTGTTGGGGTGTGTGGGTATTGGGATGTGTGGGTGTTGGGGTATGTGGGTGTGTGGGTGTTGGGGTGTGTGGGTGTTGGGGTATGTGGGTGTGTGGGTGCGTGGGTGCGTGGGTGTTGGGGTGTTGGGGTGTGTGGGTGTGTGGGTGTTGGGCTGTGTGGGTATTGGGGTGTGTGGGTGTGTGGGGTGTGTGGGGTGTGTGGGTATGTGGGTGAGTGGGTGTTGGGGTATGTGAATGTATGGGTGTTGGGGTGTGTGGGTGTGTGGGGTATGTGAGTGTGTGAGTGTGTGGGGTATGTGAGTGTATGGGTGTTGTGGTGTGTGGGTGTGTGGGGTATGTGAGTGTGTGGGTGTGTGGGGTGTGTGGGCTGTGTGGGTGTTGGGGTATGTGGGGGTATGTGAGTGTGTGAGTGTGTGGGTGTGTGGGTGTGTGGGTCTGTGGGGTGTGTGGGTATTGGGGTGTGTGGGTGTGTGGGGTATGTGAGTGTGTGAGTGTGTGAGTGTGTGGGTGTGTGAGTGTGTGAGTGTGTGAGTGTGTGGGTGTGTGGGTATGTGAGTGTGTGAGTGTGTGAGTGTGTGAGTGTGTGAGTGTGTGGGTGTGTGGGTGTTGGGGTGTGTGAGTGTGTGAGTGTGTGAGTGTGTGGGTGTGTGAGTGTGTGAGTGTGTGAGTGTGTGGGTGTGTGGGTGTTGGGGTGTGTGAGTGTGTGAGTGTGTGAGTGTGTGGGTGTGTGAGTGTGTGAGTGTGTGAGTGTGTGGGTGTGTGAGTGTGTGAGTGTGTGAGTGTGTGGGTGTGTGGGTGTTGGGGTGTGTGAGTGTGTGAGTGTGTGAGTGTGTGGGTGTGTGAGTGTGTGAGTGTGTGAGTGTGTGAGTGTGTGAGTGTGTGGGTGTGTGGGTATGTGAGTGTGTGAGTGTGTGAGTGTGTGAGTGTGTGAGTGTGTGGGTGTGTGGGGGCTTGCGTCGTTCATCGGCTCAGAAAAGAGGCGCACGAGACGAAGCTCATTGCGCACGTGGGTCCATGGACAGCGGGCGGGGAGAGGGGGGCCCGAGGGGGGAGCCCACGCCCCCCCCCCTCACCCCCCCCCTCACCCCCCCCCACAACCCCAATGGAGCTCACAGCGATTTGTCGGAACAATTGTGGTAAAATGAAATCTCCCTGGGGGGGGGTCGGGGGCAGGTCGCGGGTTTGGGCGCCGCAACCCAGAGGCGGGGCGCGATGGCGGTCCCACTCGGAGTGCTGGGGGCTCATTGCCGCTGGCTCTCTCGTCGGCCTGCGCTTCGATGCACACCGGCGGGGGATGAGTGCCCACCCTGTACCCCACCACGCACGATCTGCCTGCCGAGCGACTCGCTGTGGACAACACGAAGGCTGGGGAACGCAACCTCGTGGCACTCATGTTACGAGTCACTCGGTAAACGACGTTTCAGCATCGGAACGAAGCTGGAGGAGACGCATCTACTTTGTATGTGGAGGTAGCAATGTATTAGATTGTTAAGCGGATTTACAGACCCCCATGCCTTCGTCGCAGTGAGAGGTGTCACTCCATAATTCCGGCTGTAATTACTGGCGAAACGTCGTACTCAGATTGTGTATGTTGTGGATTTGCTCTCCAACACACCGGTGTGCTGTACCAGTAACAAATTGGCACGTTCTGTTTACGTGACGAACCTTACTAATTGTCTGTGTCGGGTGGTGACGGGTTTAACGACACATTTCTATTTACGCGATCTAACCCAAACAAACCTGTGTTGCTTCAATTCAAGGAGTCTCCACTGGCATTAATCCCTCTGTAACCCCGCAGCTCATTATATCCCAAACACTTAGCAGATGTATTCTTTAAAAGTGTTACTGTTATCGAAGTAAACGTACAGTTTAACACGTAGGCTTTCGCGACCAATATTATTCATAATAAAGGTTTTTTTTTTGGTTAACTAAGTATAAATGTGTCGTAACCCTCCACCACCCGACACGGCCAATCTAGTGAGGGATTTGTCACGTAACCAAAACGCCAAACGGTTGCTACTTCAGCCCACCGGTGTGTTGAAGAGTGAATCCACAACATTTACAATCTGAGTACGACGTTTCGCTGGTAATTACATCCAGCATCATCGGGCGTGTGTGTGTGGGGAGAGGGTGTGGTGTGGCTATTAGCGCACAGCGCTACGAACCCGACCGCCCGAGTTCAATTCCCGCCCGCGCGTCACCAACACCAGTGACGATTATATGAACCGGTCCTGGGCCTCCCCTAGGTCGATTCAGCCTCAAATGAGTCACGCGGTGCGGTGTGTCCTAAACATCACTACTGGCCACCCACCCACCCACCCCTTTGTGTTCCGTGCCGGCCTTCGTAGGTGCTGCTGCTCGCGAACTGCAGTCGCCCCATCAGTCCGTTGACGGGCTACACGACGAGGTGGTGACTTCGTCTCTCTGGATTCTAGGGCCCACGTGGCCGGCCGACGAGCACGCGACGAGGACGGTGACCCGAGGAGACGCGGGCACGGCTACTCACCCGCAGCGAATCCAGCGAGCGGCGTCCCTCCTGCAGTGTCCGCGTCACGTGGGCCACGTCAAGTCTATGGTGGGGTGGGGGGGGCAGGGGGGAGACACGTTCAGGGCCTGCGGTGTGTAACGCCACTGCTGGATAGAAGGGTCCTCCTTCCCCCCCTCCTTCCTCCCCCTCTCCTCCTTCCCCCATCCTCCTCCTGCCCCCCTCATCCTCCCTCCCTCCTTCCCCCTCCTTCTCATCCTCCACCCCCTCCTCCTTCCCCCCACTCCTCCTCCTCCCCCCTCTCCTCCTCCCTCCCTCCCTCCATCCTCCTCCTCCCTCCCTCCATCCGCCTCCCCCTCCTTCTCCTCCTACCCCCCCCATTCTTCCTCCTCCTCCCTCCCTCCTCCTCCTTCCCTCCTCCTCCCTCCCCCCTCCTCCTCCTCCCACCTCCCCCTGCCCCTCCTCCTCCTCGAGTGATAATAATATAATAATAATGTATGTGTGTTGAACTTCTTTCCCACCGTACGTAGCCGACCGTGCTCATCGGAGGTGCGTGTTTATCCGAGAGTCGTAGGTGAAAGTGTTCAGGAGGGCCACACTGCTGCTGCTGCGTTGTCATTCTAAAGATGTGTTCAGCCCAATTAATAATGACTCATGTTTACTACACAAATTGGAGGAAACCGGAGCACACGGAGAAACCCCGCGCGTGCGAGGGCGCAACGCTCTATCCCCGTATGGAAGGGACACAGATATATATCAGTCCGCACTTTGCTCCAGCGCATTCCCCTGGCACAGCCAGGCTACGGCCTCCTCCCAGGCGACCACGGCCAGAAGGGAGTTTCACAACAGCATCATCTGTGTGCGTGTGATCCACAAACCCTCGTTGTCGCTGCTGCTGCCTGCACAGCGAGGACCATTCCACGTCTGAACGGCTTGGCGGAGGTAGTTGCGAGTACGCACACTTTACCCCGCCGCACGCGCGTGAGCGAGATGCCGATCGGGGACTCACTGTGACGAACCCATCGATAAACTCGTGGTGCGGACAGAGACGGCGGGCGGAGGCAGAGCCAGTACCTAGGGGGGTACGGCGAATCCTGGCGACCGCCCGGGGCCCCGGGTTTTGGGGGGGGGCCGCACCCCGCCCCCTCCCCCCCCATGGATGGCTCTGGGTGGCGATTTTTTTGTTTACTTGACTGGCGTCGACGTTTCAACTGCCTCTCCACGAGGTGGAATCGAACCGGCAACCTCTGAGCTGGAAGTGCAGTCGCGCTGCTCAGCAATTACGGCGCGGCAGGATGCAACTGCCCCTCTAAAGCCCCCCCCCCACTCCCATACCCCCACCCATCCCCCCCATGCCACCCCCCCCGCCCTATCCCCTCACCCTTATACATAAATCATGAATGGCAAAAAAACAAGGGGAGGCTTTGAAAGCGAGAGGATAGAGAGGCGGCCGCACGCAGAGCGAGATATTTTTGACGTAGAGGGGGACGGAGCGCTCGTGAGGATATTGGTGAGAGGACGGGGGGCTAGCGGAGAGCGTGGGCGGTGAGTGGCTCGTGACCTTTACTGTTCATGGGAGAATCGGAGGCGTTGCAGGAGAGGCGGGGGGGGGGCTCATCCCCCCCCCCCCCAGCGCCCCGGGCCCCCTCACTGTGCGACGCTTTCACCAATCTCAGTCTCTGTTCGAGTCTACGGGTCTCTGTGTGAGTCTACGGGTCTCTGTGTTAGTCTACGGGCCTCTGTGTGAGTCTACGGGTCTCTGTGAGTCTACAGGTCTCTGTGTGAGTCTATGGGTCTCTGTGAGTCTACAGGTCTCTGTGTGAGTCTACGGGTCTCTGTCCGAGTCTACGGGTCTCTGTGCGAGTCTACGGGTCTCTGTGTGAGTCTACGGGTCTCTGTGTGAGTCTACGGGTCTCTGTGCGAGCCTACGGGTCTCTGTGTTAGCCTACGGGTCTCTGTGTGAGTCTATGGGTCTCTGTGTGAGTCTATGGGTCTCTGTGTGAGTCTACGGGTCTCTGTGCGAGTCTACGGGTCTCTGTGTGAGTCTATGGGTCTCTGTGTGAGTCTACGGGTCTCTGTGTGAGTCTATGGGTCTCTGTGTGAGTCTACGGGGCTCTGTGTGAGTCTACGGGTCTCTGTGCGAGTCTACGGGTCTCTGTGTGAGTTTACAGGTCTCTGTGTGAGTCTACGGGTCTCTGTGTGAGTCTATGGGTCTCTGTGCGAGCCTACGGGGTCTCTGTGTGAGTCTATGGGTCTCTGTGCGAGCCTACGGGTCTCTGTGTGAGTCTATGGGTCTCTGTGTGAGTCTACGGGTCTCTGTGTGAGTCTACGGGTCTTTGTGCGAGTCTATGGGTCTCTGTGTGAGTCTACGGGTTTCTGTGTGAGTCTACGGGTCTATGTGTGAGTCTACGGGTCTCTGTGCGAGTCTATGGGTCTCTGTGTGAGTCTACGGGTCTCTGTGTGAGTCTACGGGTCTCTGTGTGAGTCTACGGGACTCTGTGCGAGTCTATGGGTCTCTGTGTGAGTCTGCGGGTCTCTGTGTGAGTCTACAGGTCTCTGTGAGTCTACAGGTCTCTGTGTGAGTCTACGGGTCTCTGTGTGAGTCTAAAGGTCTCTGTGTGAGTCTACAGGTCTCTGTGTGAGTCTACGGGTCTCTATGTGAGCCTACGGGTCTCTGTGCGAGCCTACGAGTCTCTGTGTGAGTCTACGGATTTCTGTGTGAGTCTACGGGTCTCTGTGTGAGTCTATGGGTCTCTGTGTGAGTCTCCGGGTATTTGTGCGAGCCTACGGGTCTCTGTGTGAGTCTACTGGTCTCTGTGGGAGTCTATGGGTCTCTGTGCGCGTCTACGGGTCTCTGTGTGAGTCTACGGGTTTCTGTGTGAGTCTACGGGTCTCTGTGGGAGTCTACGGGTCTCTGTGTGAGTCTACGGGTCTCTGTGTGAGTCTATGGGTTTCTGTGCGAGTCTACGGGTCTCTGTGCGAGTCCACTCGTCTCTGGGCGAGTCTACGGGTCTCTGTGCGAGTCTACGGGTCTCTGTGCGAGTCTATGGGTCTCTGTGTGAGCCTACGGGTCTCTGTGCGAGTCTACAGGTCTCTGTGCAAGTCTACGGGTCTCTGTGCGAGCCTACGGGTCTCTGTGCGAGTCTACGGGTCTCTGTGCGAGTCTATGGGTCTCTGTGTGAGTCTATGGGTCTCTGTGTGAGTCTCCGGGTATTTGTGCGAGCCTACGGGTCTCTGTGTGAGTCTACTGGTCTCTGTGGGAGTCTATGGGTCTCTGTGCGAGTCTACGGGTCTCTGTGCGAGCCTACGGGTCTCTGTGCGAGTCTACGGGTCTCTGTGTGTCGACGCACCACGGGGACTGCGACGAGCGAGGAGTCGCGCGTTTTGATGTTCCGAGTTGGCAGTGGGGGGGTCTAGGTGGTTTTCAGATGATGACCCCTTCGCTCGGTGACCTTTCCAAACGGCGTGTCCTCGTCAACGTTCAGACCTCTGAGTCACCCAGCTACGCGGGGGGCCAGGGGGGGTGGGGGGCTCTCTGTAGTTTTTTGGGGGGGGTGGGCGAGGGCCTTCAATTCCTTCCCTTCACAGCGAGTCATCGTTTAACACGCTGGTAGCGGTAGCAGATGCGCTCCTGACAAGTGCGACATTAAGCGCAAAAAACGGTTGCCCCTGAAAATGATGCAACGATCAAGTTTGGCGAGACACGAAGCACGACTTCTACTCCGCGCACGCGCCCAGTGAGACGGCGGGACACATGACCGAGGGTACATCGCGCCACGTTACTGTGTCGCTGTACCGCTCAGCCGCGCAGCTCAAGAAAGTAGTTCGTCGTCGACCGCTCAGAAATCGCGTTATAACGGTGCACGTTACACGTTATAACGGTACACGTTACACGTTATAACAGTGCACGTTACACGTTGTAACAGTGCACGTTACACGTTGTAACAGTGCACGTTACACGTTGTAACCATGCACGTTACACGTTATAACGGTGCACGTTACACGTTATAACGGTGCACGTTACACGTTATAACGGTGCACGTTACACGTTGTAATGGTGCACGTTACACGTTATAACGGTGCACGTTACACGTCGTAACGGTGCACGTTACACGTTATAACGGTGCACGTTGCACGTTGTAGTGGTGCACGTTACACGTTATAACGGTGCACGTTACACGTTATAACGGTGCACGTTACACGTTATAACGGAGCACGTTACACGTTGTAACGGTGCACGTTACACGTTACAACGGTGCACGTTACACGTTATAACGGTGCACGTTACACGTTGTAACGGTGCACGTTAGACGTTACAACGGTGCACGTTACACGTTATAACGGTGCACGTTACACGTTGTAACGGTGCACGTTACACGTTGTAACGGTGCACGTTACACGTTGTAACGGTGCACGTTACACGTTATAACGGTGCGTGCATTCCGAGTTATAACAGTGCACGATACACGTTATAACGGTGCACGTTACACGTTATAACGGTGCACGTTACACGTCATAACGGTGCACGTTCCACGTTACAACGGCGCACGTTACACGTTATAACGGTGCACGTTACACGTTATAACGGTGCGTGTGCTCCTCGTTATAACGGCGCGTGCATTCCGCGTTGTGCGAAAAGCGTTCCTTCATGGAAGAGAGCAGCGTTCTAGCGGGAACGGCGTTACAGCCCGAACACCGGCCATGCGCTAGGCGAGGACTCGCCGTTACTGTTTTTCCACCACCGCCACCACCACCACCGACAACCGATGATGGCAAACCCTCCGCCGTTATTCACCCTGGCGAATTCTAATGAACGTGGCCACCTGTTCGTGAAACCCGGGGGCTCCACCGCCACGCGAAGGGGAGTGGAGTCAAGGATGTAATGCACGGAGAGCGGACCGGGAGAGCGTAGAGAAGGAGTGGGGAGAGGGGGGGGGGGGGGGTAGGAGGCGGGAGGAGTTAGTCTGGACCCCACATCGCACGATATTCGGGAGCAAGTTTTGCTGGCTGACTGGAGTGAGGGATGGCCGGGACCGAAGGACGTTCATGCGGAAAGCTGCTGGTCCATAACAATAATGAGAAGGAAAAAAACCATTCAATGTATATTCTCAACAACCCACCCCCTCCCTTCCCCCATCGCCCACCCTCTGCTCCCACCCCCGCCCTCTTGGACCCACCGCCGCCCTCTTGGACCCACCCCCGTCCACACCTTCGCTGTCTGCCGTGCGCCTCCAACTGCGTGCGGAGCTCCTCCAGCTCCCTCCTCAGGGCGAGCGGCGCCGGGGGGGTCCCGTGGGGGGCCGTCGGGGTCCCGTGGGGGGCCGTCGGGGTCCCGTGGGGGGCCGTCGGGGTCCCGGCTGGGCACGGGGGCTTTGATGGGCGCGGGGGTTTGGGTTTCACGGGCGGTTGGACTCCGGGTTTATTCGGGGCAGGCGACGGCTTTGGCGTCCTCTCCGATCCGACTTCGTCTGCGGAGTCACAAGGACAAAGATTAAATCCCCCCAGGATAGCCTTTGACAGCCTGTTGGGGCAAGTGTACGTGCGTCGTTGCGTTGCATCGACGAGCCAGCAGAACCTCTGCCGGCCAACCCATGGCACCCGCTGGGGTCTGTCCCGTGGCCTCCTGCCAGCGAGCGTGGGACATTATTCGCGTGGGCACCGTGGTGACGTTAGTGGCGAATGGCGCTTGTTGTTGTTGTTGTTTGTTGAACTTCTTTCGCGCCGCACGTAGCCGATCGTGCTAATCGGAGGTGCGGGAAAGGACAACGACACGAGACGAGACACACACACACACGCACAAGGACGTGCTGCTCTGCGGTGGGGTGGCCAGCACCACGCCCGGCAGCCTTTGTCTCCCCAGCGCTGATGTTTACCACACACCGCCCCAGGTGCTCATTTCTGTCCGCGTCAACCACCAGCCGCCTGCGGGAGTGTCGCGACACAGAGCCGGCTTGGTGACGATGACTGCCAGGGCGACGGACAGTCAGCCCACAGGCTCGACAACTATCCGTGACCTCCCCTCCTCCTCCTTCTCCTCCATGCGCCCCGTGGCTCTGCCAAGCGCCATCGTTATCGGCTGGAGCTATCTCGCGCCTCGAACCCTCCCATAACCCTCCCCCCCATCGCCTCCTTAAATCTCCCTCCCACTCTCTTCTCTCTCTACACCCGCGCCTCCCTCCCACAATCTAATGGACATCTGTGAACAAAAAAGCTTTACAGCTCATCCTGCAGTACAAATATTCTGATTCTGAATCCCGGTCTCCCACCCTACAGACATCCCTCCCTGTCTTCATCTATTCGTTTAATGCCTCCTGCCATCAGTTCCATCTTCTCTCCCATCCCCGCCTTCCCTCGCAGTGTCCCTCGCTTGATCTCATCCCTCGCATCAATCTCCCAGGAATTAACTTCTCACTGACATTGTGTTTTCGACCAGGATAGACACGGATAAAATGAAACCCTGGTACACACCCCACCATCCTCTTCTCCCTCCCTCCCTCCAGCTTCACCCACCCCCTCACCCCCACCCCCACCCCACCCTCACCCTCACCCCCACCCCCACCCTCACCCCCACCCTCACCATCACCCTCACCCCCACCCCCACCCCACCCCCACCACCCTCACCCCCAACCTCACCCCCACCCTCACCCCACCCCACCCCCACCCTCACCCCGTCAAGGAGAGGCGAAGCTGCCCGGGCAGGTTTACTGCCGCAAGGCTCCGTTCCCTCGGCGTCCCAAGCCCTCATCACCACACTCATCATCCCCCTCATCATCCCCCTCATCACCACACTCATCACCACACTCATCATCCCCCTCATCACCACACTCATCATCCCCCTCATCACCACACTCATCATCCCCCTCATCACCACACTCATCATCCCCTCATCACCACACTCATCATCCCCCTCATCACCACACTCATCATCCCCCTCATCACCACACTCATCATCCCCCTCATCACCACACTCATCATCCCCCTCATCATCCGCCTCATCATCCCCCTCATCACCACACTCATCATCCCCCTCATCATCCCCCTCATCACCACACTCATCATCCCCTCATCATCCCCCTCATCACCACACTCATCATCCTTCCCATCACCACACTCATCATCCCCCTCATCACCACACTCATCATCCCCCTCATCACCACACTCATCATCCCCCTCATCACCACACTCATCACCACCACTCATCATCCCCCTCATCACCACACTCATCATCCCCCTCATCACCACACTCATCATCCCCCTCATCATCCCCCTCATCATCCCCCTCATCACCACACTCATCATCCCCCTCATCATCCCCCTCATCACCACACTCATCATCCCCCTCATCACCACACTCATCATCCTTCCCATCACCACACTCATCATCCCCCTCATCACCACACCTCATCATCCCCTCATCATCCCCCTCATCACCACACTCATCATCCCCCTCATCACCACACTCATCATCCCCCTCATCACCACACTCATCACCACACTCATCAGCCCCCTCATCATCCCCTCACCACCACACTCATCATCCCCCTCATCACCACACTCATCAACCACACTCATCATCCCCCTCATCACCACACTCATCATCCCCCTCATCATCCCCTCATCACCACACTCATCATCCCCCTCATCACCACACTCATCATCCCCCTCATCACCACACTCATCATCCCCCTCATCACCACACTCATCATCCTTCCCATCACCACACTCATCATCCCCCTCATCACTACACTCATCATCCCCCTCATCATCCCCCTCATCACCACACTCATCATCCCCCTCATCACCACACTCATCATCCCCCTCATCATCCCCCTCATCACCACACTCATCATCCCCCTCATCATCCCCCTCATCACCACACTCATCATCCCCCTCATCACCACACTCATCACCACACTCATCACCACACTCATCACCACACTCATCATCCCCCTCATCATCCCCCTCATCACCACACTCATCATCCCCCTCATCACCACACTCATCATCCCCCTCATCATCCCCCTCATCACCACACTCATCATCCCCCTCATCACCACACTCATCATCCCCCTCATCACCACACTCATCACCACACTCATCATCCCCCTCATCACCACACTCATCATCCCCCTCATCATCCCCCTCATCACCACACTCATCATCCCTCATCACCACACTCATCATCCCCTCATCATCCCCTCATCACCACACTCATCATCCCCCTCATCACCACACTCATCATCCCCCTCATCACCACACTCATCACCACACTCATCATCCCCCTCATCACCACACTCATCATCCCCTCATCACCACACTCATCATCCCCCTCATCACCACACTCATCATCCCCCTCATCACCACACTCATCATCCCCCTCATCACCACACTCATCATCCCCCTCACCACCACACTCATCATCCCCCTCATCACCACACTCATCATCCCCCTCATCATCCCCCTCATCACCACACTCATCATCCCCCTCACCACCACACTCATCATCCCCCTCATCACCACACTCATCATCCCCCTCATCACCACACTCATCATCCCCCTCATCATCCCCCTCATCACCACACTCATCATCCCCCTCATCACCCCCCTCATCACCACACTCATCATCCCCCTCATCACCACACTCATCATCCCCCTCATCACCACACTCATCATCCCCCTCATCACCCACACTCATCACCACACTCATCATCCCCCTCATCACCACACTCATCACCACACTCATCACCCCCCCTCATCATCCCCCTCATCACCACATTCATCATCCCCCTCATCACCACACTCGCCATCCTTCTCATCACCACACTCATCATCCCCCTCATCATCCCCCTCATCACCACACTCATCACCCCCCTCATCATCTCCCTCATCATCCCCCTCATCACCACACTCATCATCCCCCTCATCACCCCCCCTCATCACCTCCCTCATCATCCCCCTCATTACCACACTCATCACCACACTCATCATCCCCCTCATCACCACACTCATCATCCCCCTCATCATCCCCCTCATCATCCCCCTCATCATCCCCCTCATCATCCCCCTCATCACCACACTCATCATTCCCCTCATCATTCCCCTGATCACCACACTCATCATCCCCCTCATCATCCCCCTCATCACCCCCCTCATCATCCCCCTCACCATCCCCCTCATCACCACACTCATCATCCCCCTCATGATCCCCCTCATCACCTTACTCATGATCCCCCTCATCACCACACTCATCATCCCCCTCATCACCACACTCCTCATTCGCCTCATCATCCCCCTCATCATCCCCCTCATCACCACACTCATCATCCCCCTCATCATCCCCTCATCATCCCCCTCATCACCACACTCATCATCCCCCTCATCATCCCCCTCATCACCACACTCATTACCCCCCTCATCATCTCCCTCATCATCCCCCTCATCACCACACTCATCATCCCCCTCATCACCCCCCTCATCACCTCCCTCATCATCCCCCTCATCACCACACTCATCACCACACTCATCATCCCCCTCATCATCCCCCTCATCATCCCCCTCATCATCCCCCTCATCATCCCCCTCATCATCCCCCTCATCACCACACTCATCATCCCCCTCATCATCCCCCTCATCACCACACTCATCATTCCCCTCATCATTCCCCTGATCACCACACTCATCATCCCCCTCATCATCCCCCTCATCACCACACTCATCATCCCCCTGATCACCACACTCATCATCCCCCTCATCATCCCCCTCATCATCCCCCTCATCACCACACTCATCATCCCCCTCATCACCACACTCATCACCCCCCTCATCATCCCCCTCATCATTCCCCTGATCACCACACTCATCATCCCCCTCATCATCCCCCTCATCACCACACTCATCATCCCCCTCATCATCCCCCTCATCACCCCCTTCATCATCCCCCTCATCATCCCCCTCATCACCACACTCATCATCCCCCTCATGATCCCCCTCATCACCATACTCATGATCCTCCTCATCACGACACTCATCATCCCCCTCATCACCACACTCATCATCCCCCCTCATCATCCCCCTCATCAACACACTCATCATCCCCCTTATCACCACACTCATCATCCTCCTCATCACCACACTCATCATCCCCCTCATTACCACACTCATCATCCCCCTCATCACCACACTCATCACCACACTCATAATCCCCCCTCATCATCCCCCTCATCATCCCCCTCATCACCCCCCTCATCATCCCCCTCATCACCCCCCTCATCATCCCTCTGATAACCTCACTCCCCCACGCAACACTCCACCCACCATCTCACTCCTTCCTCCCCCTTCTCACGCCACACTCCGACCAACCTCCCTGCCCGCAGGCACAATTCACTCAAGGGCCGTGATGACTCACACAAAAGACAAAGATCCCCCGTGTAGCCGGACCAGACTGTAGGGGCAAGTGCTGTTAGCGAGCACCTATCAACCGCGCGGCGCGGCCCACGAGGGGGTGGGTGGCCAGCACCACGCCCGGCCGCCTTTGTCTCTCCCCAGTGGCGATGTTTACACACCGCACCAGGTACTAATTTGAGGCTGAGTCGACCTAGGGTAGGCCCAGGACCGGTTCAGATAATCGTCACTGGTGTTGGCCAGTGAGGGGGAATCGAACGCCGGGTCGCCGGGTTTGTAGAGTATAGCGCGCTAACCGCTGCGCCACCACTCCCCGTGTGTGACGACTCGCACAAGAACTCTAACACGCGCACACCCACGACGCACACGCACACGTAACGTGCATACAACGTTACATAAACGCACACCCACACACTCATAAATACACACGCATGTACTTTTACAGTTAAACAAAGACAAATATTGCCCGTGTAGCCTTTAGCAGGCTGTTGGGGCAAGTGCTGTTAGCGAGCACCTATGAAGGCCGGCACGGTACACGAAGGGGGCGGGTGACCAGCACCACGCCCGACCGCCTTTGTCTCCCCAGTGGCGATGTTTTACACACCGCACCGAGTACTCATTAGAGGCTGAGTCGACCTAGGCAATGCCCAGTACCTGTTCAGATAATCGTGAGCGGGAATCGAACGTGGGGGTCACCAAGTTAGCGTGATGCGCTAACCGCTACGCCACCGCTCCCCACACACCCACACACATGCGCGCGCACACACAGACAGACGCACGGCACGCGAGTGAGTTCACGCAACTCGCTCGATCAGGAGATTTACGGTCGCCACGTGTTTTTTTTATGATACAGGAACTGTGTGGCGAGCGAGGTTTTACGTCGCCAGATTATAGATATAATGAACGCATACAAAGACAAAGCCCACCCGTATAGCCTTGACCAGACCTTCGGGGCAAGTGCTGTTAGCGAGCAGCACCTAGGAGGGTCGGCACGGCACACGAGGAGGTGGGTGGCCAGAACCGCACCCGACCGCCTTTGTTTCCCCGATGCCGATGTTTCCACATCCCCGCAGAAGGCACCCAATCAAGGCTGAGTCGACTTAGTGGTGGCACGGAACCTGTATAGGACAATCACCACTCCCGTTCGCCGTGGTCAGGAATCGAACTCGCACACAACACACACGACTAACGGGTTAATGGAGAACCCATCGCTCTTGGTTAGAGTCCACAAACATCAACCGGCCAGGGTGCGGGGAGTCCAACTCTTACCTTGGGCGGTGCGGTTCTGTGTGTTGTTGTTGTTGTTGGCGAGGTACAGCCTCATAGCCACTCGAGAGCCAGAGACTGGCTCACCCGCAACCGAGCCGCTCTGTCTCTTTACCTCTCCCGCACAGCCGAGGAATGTAATGCGCAGCCTACAACAGTATAGGTCACGCACACGCTCACTAAATCTCTCTCTCTCTCACACACACACACACACGGACAGCCTGTCTGCCTGTCTGTCTGTGTGGCTGCCTGTTAGTCTATCTGTCAGAAAGTCAGTCTGGCCGTGTTGTAAGTCTGAATGTTAACTTGCCTATTTGTACGCCTGTCAAAAGACAGTCCTGACACTGGGGCTACCTGTTAAGCCGTCTACTTGTGTGCTTGTCTGTCAAATGTCGGTGTGACTGGCTGCCTGTAAGTCTACCTGCCTGTCTGCCTGCCTATCAAACAGTCCGTTTGTCCGGCTTAGCTTCTTGTCTGTCTGTGGCTACCTGCGCGTGCGTTTGTGGAGTTTCACTCAGCGTGCGGCTGTGCGGAGTACGAAGCGAGAGTCAAGTGGGAGGAATGAGCCAAACATCAGACTCGTATCCGTGGGCGGGGTGAGAGAGTGCGGTTTAGGTCTGGGGAGAGTGGGTGAGTGTGTGAGAGAGTGTGGTGAGACTGTGAGAGTGTGGGTGAGTGTGTGAGAGAGTGTGGTGAGACCTGGGGAGAGTGGGTGAGTGAGAGAGGGAGTGTGGTGAGACTGTGAGGGTGTGGGTGAGTGTGTGAGAGAGTGTGGTGAGACTGTGAGAGTGTGGGTGAGTGTGTGAGAGAGAGTGGTTGAGGTCTGGGGAGAGTGGGTGAGTGTGTGAGAGAGTGTGGTGAGACTCTGAGAGTGTGGGTGAGTGTGTGAGAGAGTGTGGTGAGACTCTGAGAGTGTGGGTGAGTGTGTGAGAGAGTGTGGTGAGACTGTGAGAGTGTGGGTGAGTGTGTGAGAGAGTGTGGTGAGACTCTGAGAGTGTGGGTGAGTGTGTGAGAGAGTGTGGTGAGACTGTGATAGTGTGGGTGAGTGTGTGAGAGAGTGGGGTGAGACTGAGAGTGTGGGTGAGTGTGTGGGCGAGTGTGGTGAGACTGTGAGAGTGTGGGTGAGTGTGTGAGAGAGTGTGGTGAGACTCTGAGAGTGTGGGTGAGTGTGTGAGAGAGTGTGGTGAGCCTGTGATAGTGTGGGTGAGTGTGTGAGAGAGTGTGGTGAGACTGTGAGAGTGTGCGTGAGTGTGTGAGAGAGTGTGGTGAGTCTCTGAGAGTGTGGGTAAGTGTGTGAGAGAGTGTGGTGAGACTGTGAGAGAGTGGGTGAGTGTGTGAGTGTGGTTGAGACCTGGGGAGAGTGGGTGAGTGTGTGAGTGTGGTTGAGACTCCGAGAGTGTGGGTGAGTGTGTGAGAGAGTGTGGTGAGACTGTGAGAGTGTGGGTGAGTGTGTGAGTGTGGTTGCTCACTGCAGAGGAGAGGCTGCCACTCCTCTGTCGGGAGCTGGACCGGTACCGCCTGGATCTATGCGGCATTCAGGAGGTCCGGTGGACCGGCTCTGGCTCCTGCCACCATGAGGGGTGGACAGTCCTCTACTCGGGGCAGCAGACTGCCAAACAACAGGGTGTGGGTCTTCTTTTGAACAAAAGAATGAAGGGGGCGTGGGAGCGTGGCGGTGAGGTGTGGGAAGCTGTAAGCCCCAGGCTACTTTGGGCTCGCCTTCCCATCAACCGGAGGCGAGGAATGGTGGTCGTGGTTACTTATGCCCACACCGAAGATGAACATCCGTGGAGGGATGCAGGCAAAGCCGATGAGTCAGATGCCTTCTATGACCTCCTGTCACAGGTGCTGGCTAAAGTGGCCCCTCGGGATAGAGTCATCATGCTGGGTGACTTCAATGCCCGAGTTGGTCATGATACTGGCACCTGGTCTGGAGTGATTGGAGGGCATGGGCCAGATCAGCTCAATAACAACGGTAGGAGGCTGCTAGATTTTTGTGCAGCCCATGGGCTTGTAATTACCAACACGCTGTTCCGGCATCGGCGCATCCACACAACATCATGGATGCATGCCGGGTCCAAGCAAGAACATCTGCTGGACTACATAGTGACGGACCAGCGAATGCGAGCCCATGTCCTTGACACCAGGACCTACCGTGGAGCTGATCTGCCCTCTGACCATCGACTAGTCATCTGTAAGATGCGCCTGCCATTCTTCCACTCCGGTGGTGGGTGTACACCCAGGACCCCATTCCAACCTAAAGTGGCCTGGTCTCAGTTATCTGATGAAAGTTGCAAGCGAGAATTTCATCATCGCTTGCGGCTGGGATTGGCATCGTCCCCGACTCCTCCTGATGTCGAGGGTAAATGGGCGAGGTTTAGGACTGTGACTCATGCAGCTGCAATGGCTGCTTTGGGTACGCGGTCCAGACCTCCCCAGACACCCTGGATGACAGAGGAGTTGTTCAGGATGGTTGAGAAAAAGCGACAGGCCCACTGTCATCGGCTACAGAATCCCACGTCAGAGAATGAGGAGGCTTACCGCAGCCTTCGCTCGGAGGTTCGGAGAGCCGTGAGGCGCTGCAAGGATGGGTGGTGGTCGCGGGTTGCTGAGGAGATGGAGTCTGCCTCAGTGGCCCGTGATCACAAATCTCTATTTAACTCCATCAAAAAAGTAACCTGCAGCGCCACACCTATTACCATCATTAGGGGAAAAAACGGTGATCCAATTTCCGACCCCCAGGAACAGGTTCGCAGATTTGCTGAGCATTTCTGTGAGGTCCTGGGGGAGGGAAAATCCCACAGCCAGGAAAACATCGTGGCACAAAGTGAGGATGACCCTGCTGAGGCTGCGGTGCCTCAAATATTGGATGAAGTCACCCCCTGTGAGTGGCTGGCTGAGGTGCCATCTGCTGAGGAAGTATTGAAGGCGATCCGGAGTCTGAGACCAGGAAAGGCAGCGGGCAGAGATGATCTCCCAAGCGAAATGCTGAGGGAGGGTGGCGTTTGTGCACAGACTGCCCTATATGACATCATAACAACAGTCTGGACCACTGGACGGGTTCCGCAGGATTGGAAGGATGCCCTGGTGGTCCCCCTTTTTAAGAAGGGGGACCGCACAGACTGTAACAACTACAGGGGCATCTCACTCCTCAGTGTGCCGGGAAAGGTCCTGGCAAGGATTATTCAGCATCGCCTTGCCAGGCACGCTGAGGAGAGGCTTGCGGAGCCCCAATGCGGTTTCAGGAAAGGGCGGTCCTGCACAGATGCCATATTTTCTGTCCGTCTGCTACAGCAGAGGTGTAGGGAATTCCAACAAGACCTACATCTCTGCTTTATTGACCTGGTCAAGGCCTATGATACCATCAGTAGGCCTGGGCTCTGGGTCGTTCTTCGTGCTTTTGGAGTACCTGACCCTCTGCTCACGATCATTAAGGACCTTCATGATGGTGAGCGGGCCCGGGTAAAACTACGTGGCCGGGAGTCAGAGCCATTCCCTGTACACCTTGGGGTGCGACAGGGATGTCCTCTGGCTCCCACATTATTTAACATCTATTTTGACCACGTAGTTCGTGAAGCCTTCAATAGCTGTACCGGGGGAATCTCCATATGGTACAGATATAATGGGAGGCTAATCGATGCCCGGGTGCGGTCAAGGGATGGCTCCCTATTGCTCAACCACGTTATGTATGCTGATGACTTGGTAATAGCTGCACAGTCAGAGGAGGAGTTGGAGACGCTGCTGCTGAGACTGGAGCGTGCCACTAAGAGGTGGGGCCTTACCATCAGCCCCACCAAAACTAAGCACCTGCCTGGGTATTTTGTACCATCGGACACTCCGCCCCCACAACTCCCAATCGGTGATGGGGCAGTTGTGGAGAGAGTGGAGAGTTTCCCATACCTGGGCAGTGTGCTTATGACTGGCTCCAGTTTAACAGCAGAGGTCTCACTCCGAATCAGTCGAGCGGCAATATCTTTTCATCGGTTGCGTAACGCTGTGTGGAAGCTACCTGGTCTGTCGCTCCGCACTAAGCTTCAGGTCTTCTCGGCCACGGTCATTCCCTCCCTTTTCTACGCTTGCGAAACGTGGACCCCCCTAATGGAACATCTTCGCCGGTTAGAAACATTTAGGCTGACCTGCCTACGATCCATCCTGGGTTTAACCAGACTGGATTGTGTGAGGAGCTCACAAATCCTTGAAAGATCTGGGCAGGGTCCCATCGGTGAGCTCCTCCGGCAGGCAAGGCTGCGATGGCTGGGTCATGTAGCCCGCATGCCCAGCCACCGCATGCCGAAACAGCTTTTGTTTGGCCGGATTGAGGGGGCTAAGCGGGGCGCGGCACGGGCTAGAGAAGAGATGGAGTGATGTGGTACAGGAGGACGTGGAGCTGAGTGGACTTGCCGATGACTGGTACCAGCGGTGTCAAGATCGGCCTCTGTGGAGGAGGCTCGTGAAGGATGCTACTGGGCAGTTGGAGGCAGTCGCCCTCCAACAACAACGGAGGGCGGAGGAGCGACGCTCACAACAGCGAGCGGAGCGCCGGGTGGCTAAAGCACAGCAGGTTGGCACAGTAGGGGGCACAGGTGGTGCATCAGCCAGTCATCTCAGTCAGTCGACCCGTGGCACCTGGGTCTGCCCCGTGACCTCCTGCCAGCGGGCGTTCGACACTTCACGTGGCCTCAGGGTGCACATAGCCTGGCACAAGCGTCGTGGTGACGTCACCGCCACTTAGTGGCGAATGGCGGTTGTTGTTGTTGTTGTGGTTGAGACCTGGGGAGAGTGGGTGAGTGTGAGAGAGAGAGTGTGGTGAGATTGTGAGAGTGTGGGTGAGTGTGAGAGAGAGTGTGGTGAGACTGAGAGTGTGGGTGAGTGTGTGAGAGAGTGTGGTTGAGACCTGGGGAGAGTGGGTGAGTGTGTGAGAGAGTGTGGTGAGACAGTGAGTAAGTGTGAGAGAGAGTGTGGTGAGACTGTGAGAGTGTGCGTGAGTGTGTGAGAGAGTGTGGTGAGACTCTGAGAGTGTGGGTAAGTGTGTGAGAGAGTGTGGTGAGACTGTGAGAGAGTGGGTGAGTGTGTGAGTGTGGTTGAGACCTGGGGAGAGTGGGTGAGTGTGTGAGTGTGGTTGAGACTCTGAGAGTGTGGGTGAGTGTGTGAGAGAGTGTGGTGAGACTGTGAGAGTGTGGGTGAGTGTGGTTGAGACCTGGGGAGAGTGGGTGAGTGTGAGAGAGAGAGTGTGGTGAGATTGTGAGAGTGTGGGTGAGTGTGAGAGAGAGTGTGGTGAGACTGAGAGTGTGGGTGAGTGTGTGAGAGAGTGTGGTTGAGACCTGGGGAGAGTGGGTGAGTGTGTGAGAGAGTGTGGTGAGACAGTGAGTAAGTGTGAGAGAGAGTGTGGTGTGACTGGGAGTGTGTGTGAGTGTGAGAGTTTTAATGTAAGCTGTGTGCAATATTTTCAATGTAAGAGGTTCTTTGTGTGTGTGTGGGGAGCGGTAGTGTAGCGGTTAGCGCGCTGCGCTACGAACCCCTAGGTCGACTCAGCCTCAAATGAGTACCTGGTGCGGTGTGTAAACATCGCCACTGGGGAGACAAAGGTGGCCGGGCCAAGGTGCTGGCCACCCACCCCCTCGTGTGCAGTGCCGAC